CCCCCCCCCCCCCCCCCCCCCGCAGATCCTCCACGGCTTCAAAGACCAGGTCGGGGAGGAGAACTGGCAGCAGTTTTCGGAGCAGTTCCCGCCGCTGCTCAAGGAGAGACTGGCGGCCTTCTACGGCGTCTAGGCGAACGTGGAGACTGCCAGGTGCGGGCCGGGCAGGGGGGCCGGGGGGGCCGGGGTGAGGGGTCGCGGGCCTGACACCCCTCCCGCCCCCCAGGTTTCTGTCTGCGTCATCGTCGAAGGGATTGCTGGGAGCGCGCTGTGTCCGGAAGTCGCGGTGCCCTGGTCGAGGGGGGGGTAGGGAGGCGTGCGCGGGATCCAAACCCAGAAAGAAGCCTTCCGCGTGCGTGCGTGCGTGCGTGCGTCCGCCCGCCTGTCCCACGGGCCGGCCTGGCCGGCACACGGGCAGATGGGTGGGGCCGCCACGCGCTAGTCCTACACACAGGGAGGGGGGTGGGGGGTCCGGCGGCACGAGGCCCCGGGCTCTCACGGGGGTCGTCTCAGGCCGCCCACCCGGGCCAGCCCCGTGGGAGGGAGGAACCCGCGCGGGAGGCGGCGCGGGGAGCGCAGGCGGGGAGGGGGGTGTCCTTGTAGAGACGCGCACACTCACGTCCACGTGCGGCCGCGCGCGGGTGGGCGCGCCGCCCCGTCTCCCCGACTGCATGGAGACAGTAGACGTAGTGAACCCGAGTTAAGCCGTTCGGCCTTCCGTGTAATCTGCACCTAGAGTATAAGAAGCTTTCGCTGTTTGGCCGGGATCGCCGGTGATTGGGGAGGGCTTGGGGGGGTTGGGGGGGCCTCGGCCGAGACCCCGGGGCGGGAGGGAGGAGGACGGCTACTTGCGGCCGCCCGTCAGCACGTGCACGCTTTGGACCTGCTCCGCATACTTCCTGCCAGCCTTGGGGCAGACTCAGATCATGTGCCCCCATCTTTATCCTCTCCAGCCAGCCACATAGGGACCATCCCCGCCGCAGGCAGGGGCCCCCGAGACCACCCCGGCCCCCTGGCTTGTGCTCACTGACCCTGGGCAGTGCGGGGCTGGGAGTTTTCCCTCCCCCCACCCCCCACAAAGAGAGCTCGGGACAGCTCTGTCCCCCCCCCCCCCCCCCCGCCCCCAAGGCTCTGGGGAAGCATCTTTAAGAGCGGCCTTGCTCTCTGCTCCTGGGAGTCCACCTCTAGGGTCTGGGCTGAAGGCAAGAAAGAAGCTGAGCTCAGGCTTCCAGGAGGGAAAAGGTGAATGTCCCCATCTCCACTTTGCCCCCTCTGAGACTCCATGCTCATCACAGCCCCTAGAGATGCCACCAACACTGGGGCAGATGTCCTAGGACATAGGTCTTGGTGGAAGGGTGTCATCCGCCCCACCCCAAGGGAAGTGGGCCTGGTTATTTGAGTTGCTAGGAAAATTGGGCCCTGTGTAGCTCCTTTAAGATTTACCCTTTTGGTTTTTCTTCCCTGCTTTCCACTTCTTAGGGGGACCCCTTGTATTTGGGGGGGCTTGACTGGAGTCTTTCAGCCCGGAGCCTGCTCCACTCACCCCTCCAACGCCCTACACCCCATCCCAGCCTGGCTCTTGTCTTCTGTGAGGCAGAGTCAGACCCTGCCTCGATTGATTCCAAGGGGGCACTTAGAGCACATTCCATAGCCCAGCTAGGTGTCCCTGTCCTTTCTCCCAAAACTCGAGCAGGTCTCTGGAAGCCATTTGTAAAAAAAGAAAAGAAAAAAACGTTTTTTAAAATACCACTTAGCTTTCTGCTAGTTCTTTGAAGCATCCTCTGTTGGGTTTTGGGGTGTGCAGGTGGGTTGGCTGATGGGATTGGTATAACCCCCTTTCCTCCCAAGGTGAGGGGTGCCAAGCGCCACCTTCAGGAATAGGGAGCCTGATTGTTCTAGTTTTCCTTTTTCTTTCAAGAAAACTATTTAATTTTTTAATTTATTTTTGGTTGGTTTTTGCACAAGGTTTCAGCTTCTTAACCTTTCCTGCCCAGGGCTGGGGACACAGACTGGCCTTGGTCTGCCTTCATTCCCTGTTTCCCGAGTCCCTTCTTCCCTTCTTTTCCCTGAGGGCTCCCAGGTCAGTCCATTTGTTACAGTGCTGTGCTGGAGATTGGCGCCAAGGTGGCGTGAGATTCCACTTGTGTAGAACTTTGTTGAGTAAAGATGAGTTTCTTGTGACACTTTTGGTCTCCAGTTTCCTGTGTTCTTTGCTTGGCTGGTTGAGAGGTGTAGAATTGGGCCTGGGACTCTCAGAGGGATCTGTGGTATATCCCTGGAATCCCACCATTGTAGGGACTGAGGGAAGAAGATGGTGAGTTTAGGGCAAGCTCGAGTTAGAGGGGGATTCCTGTCTCAAAAATAAAACAAAGGTGAGTGGGTGGCTCGAGTTAGAGGGGGATTCCTGTCTCAAAAATAAAACAAAGGTGAGTGGGTGGCTCATACCTGAAATTCTAACGACTCAGAGAGTTGATATCTGAGGATCATCGTTTGTAGCCAGCCCAGGCGTAAAAGTCCATGAGACTCTTCTCCAAAAATCCAGAAGTAGAGTTGTGGCTCCAGTGGTAGAGTGTTATTCCTGAGCAAATAATTTTAGGGACTGCCCAGGCCCTGAGTTGAAAAACTGTATCACTAAATGAAAGTAAGTAGGGTGAGTATGCACACATCTGGAAATAAAATTGAGCTAAGGAAGTATTATGCTTCTTTTTTTTGGGGGGGGGGTTCCGGTTGTGGGGCCTGAACTCTGGGCCTGGGCGCTGTCCCTCAGCTCTTCAGCTCAAGGCTAGCACTCTACCACTTGAGCCACAGTGCCACTTCCGGCCTTTTTCTTATGTGGTGCTGAGGAATCGAACCCAGGGCCTCGAGCATGCAAGGCAAGTGCTCTACCACTGAGTCACCTTCCCAGCCCCTTTTCTTTTTCTTTTGTAGGTCATGGGACTTGCACTCTGGGCCTGAATGCTGTCTTGTCCCTCAGCTCTACAGCTCAAGGCGAGCACTCTACCACTTGAGCCACTGGGCCATTTCTGATTTTCTGAGTGGTTTTTATTGGAGATAAGATTTTCATGGACTTTCCTGCCCAAGCTGGCTTTGAACCTCGATCCTCAGAGCTTAAGCCTCCTGAGTAACTAGGATTCCAGGTGTGAACCACCAGTGCCCGGTGGAAGTATTAGTTTTTGAGACCCCAATCCTGTGTTTTCTACCTCCCAGCCTCCTGTACTGGGGATTGAACCCAGGGCTTCCACTAGAGCCACACAACACAGCCCCTAAAGTGTCTTCTTGCTTGTAAAAACTAAAGGCCAGTGTGGAGGGGGAGATTGTGCTCAGTTGGAAGCTTGTGAAGCCTGTGGCTATCTTCATGACTTTTCAGGGCCTGGGCACTGTCCCTGAGCTTTTTGCTTAAGGCTAGCACTCTCCCGGCTTTTTGTGTATGTGGTACTGAAGAATCGAACCAGGGGCTTCACGCATGCTAGGCGAGCACTCTACCACTGAGCCACCTTCCCAGCCCCTGGAACATTTTTAAAAGGTTTATGTCCAATCAAGCACCTAAAGACCCTAAAGCGGAGCTGTGGTTCACGTGTTAAAGTACCAGCCTTATGTGTTAAGACCCTGAGTTCAAACCCAGTTCCGACACCAAAATTCGCCGGAGAAGCCAGCGATCCGGTGATTGAGGGTCATTGCCAGCCGTGATAGAATAGACCTTGAGACTCCGAATGATCCAACAGAAGGGTGGTAGAGTACAGGCTGAGGAGCGAGCCTCGCACAGCACTGGCCCGGCGCGCGCGCGCGCAGGCAGCTGCCGGTTAAGTCGGGTGCGGTGGAGCACTCCTCTAATCCCAGCTGCTGCGGACGCTGGCCGAAGGACGGTAAGTTCGAGGCCAGCCCAGGGAAACCGCTTTTCGGTGTCTTTTATAATCGGGCTTCTGGAAATGGTGCTGTGGCCCAGCTGGAGGAGTGCTAGCTTTGAGCAAAAGAAGTGCCCGGGCCCTGAGTTCAAGCCCCAGGGCCGGCAGAGAAAGAAAGCCAGCAGTAAAATCGGCGTCGGCCTCCCCAAGCCGGTGGTAAAGATGCGGGCGCCGCGCGGGACTCGAAGCTCCGCCGGCCGAGGCGCCCCGGCGCCGTCCCCGCCGCCCCGTCCCGCGGCGCTGCGCTCGTTTCCGGCCCGCCTCGACGTCATCAGGTGGCGCCGGAAGGGCATCTCCGGAAGTAACCTCTCGCTGCCTAGGAGACGGGACGCGGGGCCGGCGGCTCCGGGGGCGGGCTGGCCGTGCCCGCCCGGTCGCCATGGAACTTTCCCCAGAGCCCGGCGATTTTCCTCGAGCCTGGGACGACGATTCGGACCCGGAGCCGGAGCCGGAGCCGGACCCGGACGCGCAGGCCGAAGCGTACGTGGCCCGCGTGCTGAGCCCGCTGCAGCCCCGGGCCGCGCCCCCGTGCGCCTCGCTGCTGTCCAGGCCCGCCGCGTCCGCGGGCGCCCTGGAGCCCCGGGCCGCCGCCAAGTTCCCTCCGGTGGGAAGGCCGGGCCTGCTGAGCCTCCCTCCGGAGCTGTTACTCGAGATCTGCGCCTACCTGGACGCGCGCCTCGTGCTGCACGTCCTGTCGCGCGTGTGTCACGCGCTGCGCGACCTGGTGTGTGACCATGTCACCTGGAGGCTGCGCGCGCGGCGCCGCGTGCGCGCGCCCTACCCAGTAGTGGAAGGTGCGCGCTCCGGGGGCCCGAGGACGCCCGCCCGGGTCAGGCTTGGAGGCTAGGGTGGGGAGAAGTACCTAGGGAGCCATAGGCACCCACGTAGAGCAGGCTTCGTGGCTTTGGCAGCCGGGGCATGGAGGCTGAGGCTTGGACGCTCAGGTGATGCTTCAGGTGATGCTCGCTTCTTAGTGAATCATGAAGTAGACATTTGGATCTTGAGGTCTCACCAGTTAGGGTTCCTGACCAGGATTCTCTGCTGATATCAAGGCTTTGACGCCTGTTGCAGGAAAACACTGAGACTTGATGTCTTGGGCTGTTCCTGGGGCTCAGAATAAGCTCAAGAATCCTCAGGCTTTGGTATAGCTACCCAAACCCTTTACCTCGTTAGGCATTGACTCAAGAAGGGCCCGAGGGTGGCATCCCTTCCCCTAGCTTAGGGTTTAGGGCTGATGATCACTTACTTATTCTGCTTCTGAGTTTACTGGTCCACAAGAGGGGTGGGGGAAGATGACATAGGAAGGAGGAGAGAGACCTTGATTGCTATAGTTGATTTGGAGATGTTGATTCTGATATTTGTACTCCAGGCCCTTGATGGAACATGAGCACACATAGGCTTATTGATCCCCCTAATGGAGGCAGAGGGGATTCCTCTAATATGAAGCAGGTGGGGGGGAGGGGGAGGGGTGGGGGGGTCTCCTGTGTCAAGGTGTATGAAGATGTCACTATGGACAACTTGGTCAGACTTTCTTTTAATGAGTTGGATACATAAGCCAGGTGCTGGTGGTTAATGCCTGTAATCCCAGCTACTCAGGATGCAGAGATCTGAGGATAAGGATTCAAAGGCAGCCCAGAAAGAAGGGCCAGGAGACTCTTACCTCCAATTAACCAATGACAGCCTCCTGAGTAGTTAGGATAACAGGCATAAGGTTCTGCTGCCTAGCTTTTTATTTCAGTTTTGAGACAGGGTATCACTAACTGTCCTGTCAGGCCTGTAACTCAAGATGCTTCTGCTTCTACCTCTAAAGTATCTAGAAAGCTGGGCACTAATAGCGCATGCCTATAATCCTAGCTACTGGGGAAGCTGAGATCTGAGGATTGCAGTTCAAAGCCAGCCCAGTCAGCAAAGTCATTGAGATTTTTTTTTGGGGGGAGGGCAGTCCTGGGGCTTGAACTCAGAGTGAATCGAACCCAGGGCTTTATGCATGCAGGGCAAGCATTCTACCACTAAGCCACCTTCCCAGCCCCCAGCCCTTGAGATTCTTATCTCTAACCACCAAAAAAGCCAGAAGTGGAGTTCTTTGAGCAAAAAAAAAGCTCAGGGACAGGGCTCAGGTCCTGAGTTCAAGCACCAGAAACATCACACACACACACACACACCTGTGTGGACACCCCTGTGCCCTCCCCACACATATAGTGTAGCTAGGATTATAGTTCTGAGCCACAGTACCCCACTAGGAGGCTGAATCATGAGACCCCAGCCTGATGATTAAAGGCCTGAGGTTGAACCTCCTTGGCTTCCTGAAACTACCATCTGCCTGGCTTGGGTTGGGGGAATGAAGGCTGGAAAGGTGGGCTTGAGACCCAGTGTTTGGAAACAGCTGGGAGGTGAGCACACCCAGCCGAGGAGGTGGGTGAGTGATCAGCTCAAAGGCCAGAACCTGGCTCTACCTGGAAGAATCTAGGTGATGCTTGCACCAAGTCTGGCAGCCAGGGGTGGGCTCAGCCAGCTGGTGCCCAAAGGGGACCCTGTGATGGTGCCCTACAGAGGAGGACTTCGACTGGCCAACGGCCTGCATTGAACTGGAGCACCACCTGGCCTGCTGGGCGGAGGACGGGCGTCGGGCTGAGTACTTCTGCCTGGCTGACGGGCACATTGCATCCATTGACTCAGTGCTGCTGCTCCAGGTGAGGGGAGCTCGTGGGGAAGGACAGGCGGAGATGGGCCAGGGTGGCTCCAGCTCCATGTCTCTTTGCTCCCCTCCCAGGGTGGGACGCTCTGTTTGTCTGGCTCTCGAGATCGCAATGTCAACCTGTGGGACCTGCGGCGGCTAGGGGAGGAGCCTAGCCGGGTCCTGGTCAAGTCCTTGGGCACAGAGAAGAACAGCACACACAAGGTGAGTGCCCACCAGGTGTGGGGGGGGAGGGGGAGAGATGTGGGGTGGGAAGGTGCCAGGCTGGCCAGATTCCAATCCTGCTCAGCAGTAGCTGGTGGGACTTTGTGTGACTGCACTGGGCCCTGGTTAGGATGAGGCTGAATGGACATGGGTCATGCATTAATGTGAACACTCAACTTTCAGGCTTTGGCACAGTAGATGTTAAGTACATGTCAATAGGCTGAGTGGGGCCAGATATGGTGATTCTCACCCATAATCCTAGCACTTGTGGAGACATTGGTTTGGGAGTTCTGGGCCATCCTGGATTGCATGGCCAGGTTGTGTCCCAAAAACAAGCAAAAGGAAAGAAGAAAAAAAGCTAGGCACTGATGGCTCACACTTGTAATCCTGGCTACTGAAGAGGCTCAGATCTGTTCAAAGCTTGTCAAAGCAGGACAGTCTGTGAGACCTAAAGTGGTAGAGTGCTAGCCTTGAGCAAATAAGCTCAAGGACAGCGCCCAAGCCCTGAGTTCAGCCCCATGCCTGACCACAAAAAAAGAAAAAAGAGTCCCTCTTGCAAGGCTGTCTTTGGGGACTAAATGGCTAGATTGCTCAAGCTGTCTATGCCAGGAAGCGCCTCCACCACTCATGAAGATGGTCCAGGGCCATTGGCGTTTGGGGTCCAAATCCCAATCTGCTACATCCTGGTTGTGTAACCTTGGGTGGGTGACTCAACCTCTCTGTGCCCCAGTTTCATCATTTATGAAATGAGCTCTCTGTTCCAGTACCCTCCGTGGAGGATTTGGGGAGAAATGAGTCAGTCTACCACTGAGCCACCGTCCCAGCCCAAGGGGAGGAAGGGGGCCTTTCTGGGGATGGAAACCATGGCTTCCCGTATGCTAGGCACAAGCCCTGCCCCTGAGCTATACCTCCAGCCCAGCCCCTTTTTTTGCTTTTTGTTTTGTTTGGTCAGTCATGGGGCTTGAACTCTGGGCTTGGGCACTGTCCATGCACTCTTCAGCTCAAGGTGAGCGCTCTACTGCTTGAGCCACAGCGCCACTTCCAGCTTTTTTCTTTTTGCTTATATGGTGCTGAGGAATCGAACTCAGGGCCGCAGGCATGCAAGGCAAGCACTCTACCACTGAGCCGCCTTCCCAGCCCAGCCCAGCCCTTTTATTTTGAGATAGGGTTTCCCTCACTTTGTCTGGGCTGGTCTTACTTAGTCTCATGATCTTTTTGCCTGGGCCTCCATGGTAACTGAGATTAATGAGATTTTCTATGTGGTAGAGTGAAATTGTTACAGTGTGGAAGATTTCCCTCACTCGGTGCACATGACAGAATTGAACAGAGGCAAAAATGTGCAATGCGCAGGCGACAGCAGAGTTCATGAATGGAAGCGGTTTCAGGTTCCTTGCTGCTGCTGCTAACTTCAATCTACAACTGCATGCTATTAAGGATTCCTGATTCATACGCATACTCAGGAGGCTGAGATTCGAGGATCAAGGTTCAAAGACAGACAGGGCAAGAAAGTCTGTAAGGCTCTTATCTCCAGTTACCAGTTGGAAGTGGAGCTGTCTCAAGTGGTTAAGCTTTGAACACAAAGGTCAGGAACAGCTGTGGCTCTGAGTTCAAGCCCCAGGACTAGCACATGTGCACACAAACACACACACACACACACACACCACCACCACCACCACCCACCACCACCACCACCACCCACCACCACCACCACCACCCACCACCACCACCACCCCCACCCCAAACCAAAATTAAAATCAAGAATTGCCTGAAGGGCTGGGAAGGTGGCCCAGTGGTAGAGCGCTTGCCTTGCATGCCTGAGGCCCTGGGTTCGATTTCTCAGCACCACATAAGCAAAAAAGAAAAAAGCTGGAAGTGGCGCTGTGGCTCAAGTGGTAGAGCGCTAGCCTTGAGCTGAAGAGCTGAGGGACAGCGCCCAGGCCCAGAGTTCAGGCCCCACGACCGGACCAAAAAAAAAAAAAAAAGAATTGCCTGAAAATTCTTTATTTTATTTTTTTGTTGTTTTGGTCTGCGTTGAACTCAGGGCCTGGGTGCTGGCCCTCACCTTTTGTGCTCAAGGCTAGCACTCTGCCACTTTGAGCCATAGTGCTACTTCTAGTTTTCTGGTGGATCATTGGAGGTAAGAATCTCATGGACATTCCTACCCAGGCTGGCTCCTCAGATCTCTGCCTCCTGAATTGCTAGGATGACAGGTGTGAGCCACTAACATCTGGCTCGTCTGAGAATTTTATCATGATATTTTTCCTTGACTTCTGGGTGTGATCAGGGGCAGAGCACTTACCATGACTGCACAAGGCCCCATCCTTAAGGTAAAAACCAGTGTTACTGGTTCTGAAGTAGACAGACCCACAGGCCTGAACCCCGTCTCAGAGACTTGGCCCTCCATTGTTTGCGTCTCCTGTGGGGTGGGATGGTCACTGGCACCTGTCAGATTTTGTGTTGGGGAAGAAAAGCTGTGTGGCTTAGGGTGAGTCTGTTTACCTGTCTGAGCCTCAGCTTGCCTGCTCGCCCCATGGGCGTGGGGGGCTGGCGTGACGCGGTGCCCTGTCCCACAGGGCTGGGTGTGGTCGCTGGCGGCACAGGACCACCACGTGTGCTCTGGCTCCTGGGACAGCACGGTGAAGCTGTGGGACATGGCGGCCGAAGGGCAGCAGTTTGGAGAGATAAAGTGTGAGGGGCGTGGGCAGGGGAGTGGGGTGGAGGGCCCTGTGTGGCCTCTGCCTCAGCGGGTGGTCTGTGTGTCCCCAGGGGAAAGGCAGCCGTGCTGTGCCTTGACTACCGCCCTGACATCTTGGTGGCCGGGACCTATGACCGGAAGGTGGCCCTCTACGACCCCCGAGGTGGGTGCAGGACACCGTGGCCCCTGACTGGCCGCCCAGCCAGCGCTGCACCCTCCACCGTGCCATGTGCGCGCAGGGCCACTCGGCCCCTGGGGGACCCTCACCCCCACTTGCCAGCCGTATGACGCCAAGCACCCTGGAGCCCCAGTTATCCATATTGTACAATCTCAGTCATGGGCTGGCCGGGCACGTGGGCACGTGGGCCAGAGGCCGCCAGTTCCCCCCTAGCTCCTGCACGTTCCCTTCCCTCCCTCCCTCCCTGCCTCCCTCCTGGCCTTCCCTCCCTCCTTGCCTGCCTGCCTGCCTGCCTTCCTTCCTTCCTTCCCTCCCTCCCTTCTCTCCCTTCCTTCCTTCCCTTCCCTTCCCTTTTGGATGACACTGGGGTTTGAACTCAAGACCTCTGCCACTTCAGTCACACCTCCAGCCCCTCTGTCTTAGTTACTTTGAAGATAAGGTCTCATGATTTCCCCAGGCCAGCCTCTGACAGAAATCCTCCAGCTCTTGCCTCCCCAGGAGCTGGGTTTACAGGCACGCAAGCCACCACACCTGCCTTCTGTGGTTTATCCATGTATTCCTATTCTCTGCCACTGAACGTCTGCTGAGTCATGGCTCTAGTGGCAGAGTACCTGCCTAATGTGTGCAAGGCCACGAGTTCAAAGCCTGGTACTGGAAAAAGAGAAAAAAATAAAAAATAAAAACAAGAAAGAGCCGGGTGCTGGTGGTTCACGCCTGTAATCCTAGCTACTCAGGAGGCTGAGATCTGAGGATCGCGGTTCAAAGCCAGCCCGGGCAGGAGAGACCGTGAGACTCCTATCTCCAATA